TCTTTTAGAACACGACTTATAACTAAACCTTTTAAATCCAACCGTTAAAATAAAATTCTTTTTTTCTCAAATTCATTTTCAAAATAAAATATTCTATACGTAAATTTAAAGTTTTTCCTACTTTTTAATCACAAGTTCTCTAAAAAATTACTATTCCAAAACTCTTTTAAAAATCAAACAGGGGCTCAGTAGCTAATCCGTTACAGTTTCATGCATACAACTTTTGCATAAGCTTACAAAATCCTACTTTTGCGTTGTTGTCTTTGTTGAAAAGGTTATTCATGTGATGGAATTATCAAATTATGAACTATTGACAATGAGAATAATAATAAAGTTAATTATGCTTATATGCTTGATTCCTTTACTTTATAAATGATACATTAATACACATAAGCATTAGTACTATGAAATTGTAATGACCTGACCTCCGTATCCAATCTGTTAATTTACGTACCGTTCGCTATTGGAGAGTCTATCATATCTTATACCTCACAGATTTCTATCACGTCCTTAGGATTCGAACCCATAACATTTACATTAAGAGTGACTTTAGTTGAATCCAATAAATCATTTATCCATGAGATCTTGGAGTTGCTCCTTGAGTTCTTTGAGTTCAATAAGGGCGATTAGATATGGCGCCTTTGATATTGGGATTGTTCCGAGCATTAAATCGATGACAAAATCGATTTTCTATTTGGTGGTAGAACGGTGAGATCATTTGAAAATACATTGTAAAAGCTTTGCAAATATGAAGGTCCAAACACCACTTCCTTTTTATGACTGTAAATCATTGCATAATACCTTGATAGATAGCTAGTACATTCCTAATATAATATTAAAGTCACGAACATCCAATATTATAAGATCCGCTAATAGTTCCTTCCCACTACTACTATCGAATAGTCCCTTATAACATTTGAATTCGATATGGCTTCGGAGGGAGTGGACACACAATATTCTTAATCAAAGTGTGCAAGCAATCTCCCAATTTCTTGAAAAACATCGGACTAAGGAAAAAAATAAGTGGTCCCAAAATCAACTTGTTGGGAAATTATTTAATTTCCCATGATGGGCCGACATATGTAATTAACTGTGTATAAATGCTATCTTAAAGTTAAGCCCAATATTAAAGTGATCTAATAAAGAATTAAG